GTGAAGTTACATGTTACATTTAGACCGTATTAAGGGCACTTAAAACACAAGCTTCTACATGTTAAAGCTCATTCATGCTTAAGGGCCCTCTGAGTGTTTTAAAGTTATGCCACTTCAGGTGAGGATACTGGGCCCTACTACCTAACTAGTGTTAGAGTAACTTCATTCTGCTCCACAGAGATGAAACAAGCAATTTGCAGTCCTTCAGCATCCCAGGATACATCCTCCTTTCTCTTGCTGTTTCAGATAAATGTATAATTTATCAAACAGAACAGCTTCAGTGCCAGGGGTTGAGTGAGACCTGTCTCAGCACTCCTGCAAAATGGAAGATATGGGTTCATACCCTGTCAGGGAGAAGAAGGAATTGAATCTACATCTTCCACTTGTGACGTGAAGGCTTTGTTACTTGGCTACTGGGCAAGAAGGGGCTCCATCAGTTTTGTGGCTATAATAGCCCTTTGCTTTTCTCACTATTACTTGAAACACTTTCATTGAATTCAATATACTCGTTGTTTTTAGCTTTAGGAAGAAAACAAATATATTCCAGTACAGATAAAACCATTTTCCCCCACTTCTCATTGTACAGCCAGATAGAAAGCTTATACAGTATAACCTCATAAATCCAGATATCAAACATTTGGAATTCTTGAAAATCCGGCACTTCTTTAAAATACATTACATTGGAGAATAGTGGTGGCCAGACCCAGAGCAGCGGAGGTGGAAGCTTGCACGTGGCAGCTGCCACTGCCATCCACCACCCCATGTCACTGCTCTGTGTGCAGCCACTGCTCCAGGACTGGCTGCTCCCCCCTCAGATGCCCACTCTGTGACCAGCCACCGCCCTGGTTTAAAAAAATCTGGAATTTTCACATTTCAAGCAGGTGCTTGGTCCTGAGCATGCTGGATTTATGAGGTTATATTGTATTTGCTTCCCTAGCTGTGTGTTGCTGGGCAGGTGCTAACGAGTATTTGGTTGATAAGCAAGGATCCTGGTTTTCTCTTGTTTAAAAATTGCAAATTCTCTGATTAAAACCCCCAAAAATCTGTGATTAAAATGAAATGCCACTATATATTTAGGTATCAACTGAACACAATGTTTTATTGATGTATTTACAATTTTAAAGCAGTTTGGAAGCCTACCAGTGCCTCAGTCACTATAATAAAATAAATTCTAACTGTATAAATGCTGGTACCTGATTTTGGTTGTTTTTACCATGGAAAATCAGAGCTCCCCTTGCCCTTTGCACTCACCAGAATGCAGGTCCAGGCCCCTCACTCCCAGGCAGAGCAGGGCCGGGCAGGACAGCTCCTTGCCACTGCAGGCACCGTGCCGCCTTGGTGAAGTGACCCTGCACACCAAGCTGCAGCAAGGGGCACAACTCCGCGCCTCTACCCCCACTGCTGTCGGACTTGGGGGCACCTCACCATGGTGCTGTGCAGCTCCCAGCAGTGGCACGAGCTTCCCTGCCCAGCCCCAGTCTGCCCTACTGCACCAGTTCCTGCCTGCTGGGCTGTGGAGGCCCTGGGGGAGGGCAGCAGGGCGGGGAGCCTGAGCCCATGGCTCCATCCCACTCTCTGCCAGGGCCCTATGGCTACACATGGCCCTGCAGCCCCAAGCCCCATGCACCACCTGGGCAGCAGCCCCAGCCCTGCCCAACTCCCTCCCTCCCTATGTGGGCCTCCGTGTCCCCCCTCCCCACCCCCAACTTACCTATAGGAACTGCTCTCCTAGTAGCCCTATGGTTATGTGAGCATGCACATGTGCATGGTGCCCCCTGCCTGACCGCCCTTTTCCCTCTCCTCACATCCCCTTGCAGGCTGGAACTCTGCCAACCTGCAGACAGCTTTTTGCAAAAGTGGAAATTTCATGTGCCTCTCTGTTAAAAATGAAGCATCTGTACTTTTTTACGTCAAAAGGGAAAATCCACATTTTCCACCATTTTTCTGTGGGAAATGGAAAACCCAGATCCCTGTTGATAAGCCTTTCTGTAGGGGAAGTAATGTACTATCCTGCTGAGCTAGAACATGCACCTGAACAAGTCATTGTGCCATAGGCTTCCAGTGTATGGACTTGTATATCAGTGAGGCAGTACTATACAGCTCCTTTTTACCAAGGTAAGTTTCTAACAATTGGCCTATATTAAGAATGAGAAATAACTGACACATCTCAGGTACCATTGTACAGTAAGTGTTTGCAAAGGTATACTTTTTACATGGACACCACTGTATCTGTTGGTGGCATGTTGAGGTTACAGTGCTGTATGGCAGTAACAATTTCAGCTGTCTGCTTTAAAATGATAGGAAATAAGACACTGCTGCTCAACTGCAATAGGCTTTGTATGTCCCCAGGGAAAGGGTACAAAGGAGACAGATTTTTGTCAAACTACTTATTTTGCTTTTTAAAAAAAATGGAAAGAAAAGCAGAAGAGATGAAGTCTTTAAACTTAAAAGCCTCCTGCCTGCTAAACAGGTTTTTCTAAGTGGCAGATTATATTTATTTTCTGAGAAATGTTTTGAGTAAGAAGAAAAAGGCTACAGTAAATAGAGATAAGACATGAGACAGAAACCAGACACGTCATTGGGGTTCTAAACCTCGATTCATAGATTTCATAGAGAAGTAAGGCTGGAAGGGACCTCAAGAGATCATCTAGGGATTGAACCTGAGATCTCGGTGGTGTTGGTGCCACACATTAACCGAGCTAAACAGCTGCATATCAAAATATATTTGTCTTGCTGCAAATTAAATTCTATGTACCTCCACAGGTGAATTTGTAAAAGCCTATATGATATATGTTATATGCGTGTACCTTCTCACCTGTCTACAGCATAGGCTTTCCAGCTAAATGAATACAAAATGTATGCCAAATGACACTACACATAAGGAGGGTGGCTTTGGCTCTATGATTATTTTCCAACCCAGGAATAGGGTAACGCAGCCACTAGGGTGCTGTAATTTAGGCTAATTTCTATGATCTTCAGAAGGGTTTGGAAGATGCCAAAGGAGAGCCAGCCAGCAGGTATTTGAGAGGAACTACCTGCTTTACACTGCCAGACCAAATCAGAATAATGCTGTTAATTCCTTGCTCCCCTCTCCTTTCCACAGTTCTAGTGACCGTCTGGGCACTCTGCAAGACATGTAATTTTAGGAGAGTTTAAGCATGTATTTCTGGCGTCATACAGGAAATACAGGAAGTTTTAATTATTTCTACTTTATGTTATTTTGGGATGTTCTGTATTTATGGAGTTGCATTTTTAAAAATAACTATGCTACTATTGTTTGAGGTGCTTTATCAGATAAATGAATACAGAACATAGGTGCTCCTGTTCAGAACACCCTACGAAAGTGGAGCTAGAAGGGACCTCATGAGGTCGTTTAGTCCAGTCTCCCCTCCCCAGGCTCAAGGCAGGATCATCCTTGACTAAATCATCACAGCCAAGTATCTGTTCAGCTTGCCTTTGAACATTTCCTGGGATGGAGATTCCACAGCTTCTCTAGATAGTTTGTTTGGTTATTCTCATAGTCAGAAAGTTCCTCCTAATCGCTAGCCAAAATTTCCTCTGCTGAAACTTGAGTCCGTTGCTTCTAGTCCTGTCTCCTCCAACAACAGACAGAAGGCCATCTCCAACCTCTCTATATCACCCTTCAGGTATTTGAAGACTGTTATCAAGTCCCCCTTCAGTCTTCTCATCTCCTGACTAAGTAACCCCAGCCTCTTCTCGCATGTCCTGTTTCCCGGGCCTCTGATGATAACCTAATCGCTCTCCACTGGACTCTTGGCAATCTATCCATATACTTCTTGAAGTGTGGAGTCCAAAACTGGACAGAGTGAGGCCTCACAATTGTTGTATAGAGCAGAAGAATGACTTTCTTTGATTTGCAAGTGACACGCCTGTTACCTCTTACCTTTTTTTTGCAACATGAGCATACTGCTGACTCACATTTGGCTTATCGTCTACTGTAACCCCTAGGTCCTTCTCTGCAGTCTTGCAACCTAGCCAGTCATTCCCAGATCCATATTTGTGCATGCAGTTATTTTGTCCCAGATTTAGGATTTTGCACTTGTTGTTTTTGAATTTATTCTGGTTGATTGTGGACCATTTCTCACATCTGTCCAAGTCATTCTGGATCCTAACCCTACACTCCAGAGCATCTGTAATGCCACCCAGCTTGGTGCCACCCACAAATATGCTAAGCATGCACACAGTCCCATCATCCAAATCATTAACAAACATGCTAAACAATACTGGACCCAGGATAGAACCCCCATTTGATATCTCCTCCCAGCTAGGAATTGAGCCATTGATGACTATATGTTGATCATGATGACTCAACCAGTTATGTATCCACCTTCTTCGACTTTCATTTATTCTGTGTTTCCCTAGCTTGTTAATGAAAATGTTGTGAGAAACTGTGTCAAAAGCCTTGCTGAAGTCAAGACATGTCACAGTCACTGCTTCCCTTTCTCCCTCCCACCCCCTCTTCCACAGAGCCTGTCACGTTATCATAGAAGGAAAACAGGTTGGTGAGGCATGGCTTGCTCTTGGTGAATCCCATGTTGGCTGTTGTGTTATAAATCTAAAGTATAAATCAATGAGGAATTGTATAACACGCTCACATTCTTTAAAAAAAAGTTGCATTGTTTCAAGGAGCTCCCCCCCACCCGCCAATCAGAATTTTTTCTATTTGTTGTTTATCTGCAATTAACTACACCCACAATTCTGCTACCTAAACTGTGTACAGTAACCAAACTGAAAAAAATAGTGAATGTTTCTGCTTTTCCTCCTTCCTAAACCCAGTATCTATTATCAGCGGTAACCAGCAGAGTTTGCAGATAAAATGTGATTTTAATTGGTTTTTCCATATTGTGGGTTTTTTTAGAAAAGTTTGAAAAAAGCCGAATAAAGTTGCTTTAGTAACAGTGTCTTTAATATCTGCAGTGTACCAGTATATGTATGTATTACCTGCTGCTATTAGCTGCTATTATGATTTTCTGTTCCAGGATAATGTTTTAAACATCATAAATCAGATCATGGATGAATGCATTCCACATGACCGGGCCAACCGGGACTTCTGTGTCAAATTTCCAGAGGAAATACGCCATGACAACCTTGCAGGGCAGCTTTGGTTTGGAGCAGAGGTAGGTCTGTGGTGTATGTGTAATTTTATGTTAAATGGAGATTGGTTTACCATGTGCATCTGGTAAAGAATGTTTGGTGGCTTATGCTTGAAATGTGTGAAAATCATTTTCTCACCAAAGAACATCTAAAATTTTAGATCAGTGGCCATAAGCATTGACTTGACTATTAAATTAATTTGTTCTTGATGTGCACTCTAAGAGGCTTTATCTGTTGTACTTGTGAAATACAACTTTATATTAATAATTGTGTACAGTCATTTGTCTGCCTTTTAAAAATTGTGTATATACGATAATGTGTTGGTATTTTATATTTATATTTCCAGCTTATTGGGTTAATTTTATATCTACCATGAAGGCTCTCACATGCTGGCTGTAAAAGTTTTCCATGTATGTCCACAGAATTTCAGGTCTGAGTAAAGTCATTTTTCAGGGGACAATTTATGCTATTCTTAACTAAACATATATTTGACCTTTCTGTTGTTTCTCCCTCTAATTACTATATTATTTTAACCATTTATTAAATAAAGAGAGAGATTAAAAGGCGCATCTATGTGAGAGTCTAGATGTCCCTGCAATAAGCAGCGAATAAAATAATTATGTTGCAGAATACCAAATTCCTCACCTCCCTCACTCAAATGCTTACTTGTACAGGAGCCTATATAAATAGGTTTGTAGTGTTCTCTGCTGATTAGTAGTCTTAGGCTATTTGGGGCTGGGGAGGCGTGAAGATCCATAGCTAAGGGTCGTGTATGTATGTGCGTGTGTGCACGCACACGTGTATTAACATGCACAACCGTTAGCCATTTTAGTTAGAACATTTTGAGTTTCAAAGCCAGGCTTACTTGGCTTCAGTGCTGGTCCCAGCCAGCAGCACCAGCCTCCTGTCATCTGACAGGCAGACCGGGCTTGCCCACACACTCAGGAGGACTGCGGGGGCTGTGCCAGGCTGGGGGCCTGCACCCTTGGGAGCAATCTGCGTGCTGGATCACAGGAGGCTGGTGCTGCCGGCTGGGGCCAGCAGCAGCCAGGGCCGTCCCGGGGGGGTGTGTGTGTGTGTGTGTGTGTGGGTGTGTGTGTGTGTGTGTGTGTGTGTGTGTGTGTGTGTGAGAAAATGGGTTGACCACCCTAGGCCCCGCACTTTGAGGGGCCCCCTTCAGAGCCGGGTGGCGTGGCTATAGTGACTGCTGCCGGTGCCAGCTTCGCATCCCACTGCTCGCTACCCACCTCTCCCCCAGTGCTAGTGCTGCCATCAATGGCAGCGACGGCTTCTTCGCATCCAGGGCATGCGGGATCAGGACGGGGGCAGGTCCCACACCCTCCTCGGTTTGGTTCTGGTGTGGGGCCCGGGGCAAATCAGCTCATGCAGGGACCTGCCCCTGCCCTGATCTCATGTGCCCTGGACGTGAAGAAGCCACCACCACCATCGGTGGAAGGGGGTGGGGTGGTCGAGTTAGTGAGCAGCCGGACACGAAGCTGGTGGCAGCGGCGCAGAGTTACCATGGCCACTCCATCTGGCTCCATGCAGCACCCCAAAACGCAGGGCCTGGGGCGGTCACGCCATTGGTCGCCCCCAGGGATGGCCCTGGCTGCCACTGGCCCCAGTCAGCTGCACTAGCCTCCTGTCATCTGACAAGCAGACTGGGGGTCCACACCCCTGGGAGCAGTCTGGCACAGCCCACCCGAGTGTACGGGCAAGCCCCGAATCTGTCTGCTGGATAACAGGAGGCTGGTGCTGCTGGCTGGGGCCAGCAGCAGCACCGATCTTCCCAGCACTGGCTGTGGAATAGCCTTTGGGCGAAACATCAGAACAGCATTGAAACAGCAAAACAGTTTTGGTGAAACAAAAAGGACAGCGCTTTTGAAACTAAACAAAACTCTAAACAAAACACTGTTCCATCGAAACGTTGAAATGGAAGTCCAGGCAGAACCGGTGCTGTTTCACACAGCCTTGCTAAATGCTTTATCATAAGGACATTCAGTACCTTCAGCATCATATATTCTTTATCATACTTCCTACATTTAAAGTATTTCCTAGCTCTTATTAGCTAAGCATCATCCTCCTCCTCTTCCCACTTTAGAATGCATATTTTCCATACATAATTTCTAAATCATTTTATATAACTTCTGTTCCATGATTTCCCTTTTCAAAAATATAGATTTATTTCCAGCGGTAAAGTCTTTTGCTCAACAAAGATATGGTATATCCTGGACAGAGTTTGCGAAGACCTAATATATGATGCTATGCAAGTCATTTGAAATGTCTTGATGTAAGACAAGGCAAGAGATGAACTCAATCTCTCTGTTGTCCCACTATGCCACCCTGACATGTACTTGCCTTCACTCATCTCACACCCTGTTTTGCTCTGAGGGATGCTAGCATTTAAAATGCTTTGCAGCCTGATGTGCTGATTCTGCAACTCTTGCTGGGGTTCAGTCAGCTTCACACCATCTTGAGAACTCCCTGCTGAGTATTTAAACTAGATACAGTTTCTTCTTATCCCCTTAATAAATCCTAAAGCCCTTTGTTGTTGTGGAGGTGTATGGGGGGTGGGGTTTACAGCAGGGAAAAAAGCAGTTTATATATATATATATAACACATATCATTATTAATATATATAACTTATTTTTTAAAAACTCTGTGTGTGTGTGTGTATATATATATGTATATATGTGTGTATATGTATGTGTGTATATTATATGTATATAGTCCAGGGTGGAAAATGCTTGAGGTACCACTGAGAGAGTATACATTTTAGGATAGAAATCTTGAGTGTGGTTCAATGAGTGTGTTACATTACATGTTATTTTTTGGCTTATCTGAATCAGGCCTTCAGTCTCTGTGCTGAAGGGAGTTGCTAGCTTCAGAAAACCATGTTTTAGACTCTGATAAGGCTCTTATTCATATAGCTACAAACAGAGCTAGAAGCCATGACAACTTTCTGGAGGGAAACATAGTATGGGAGGCTATATTTATTTGTAGAGACCTCTCTGAGAATAGCATGCACATTGTTTTCTTGTCAGCTTCCTTACTGTGAATTTTGTTTAAACTGTGAGCTATAACTGTCAACATCTAAGACTTGACTGGCCTATGGTTTATTGTAATTATTGCTTTAGATTGATGAGAGAACAAGAACATGAGATTCTGAGAGTGCCCTTGTACCATAAATCAGTACATCAGGCTGCTGAGTAAGGTCTAGGATTACAGATCCTCCCTGCAGAGCTGAGAAAATGTGTTCCAGCCATTACTATTCACTAGTGAAAAGGAGACTGAAAAAGAAAGAAAATAAAAGCCTCAAGATTGACTTATGCTATGTGTGCGTTATATTTTGAAAACATATTTCTATTAATAAAGTAGATTCAGTATAATTTATATCAGCACACATTGCCTTCCAGATGTAACCGACAGTGGACCAACCCAGCAGTGGAAATTACTAAACGCCTTCTTTTAAACTATAGTGTTTCTAAAAA